CACACAAAAACGCTCCTTCAGCGCAATTTTCCATTTACCGCTGCTGAATCTTTCCTGGGTGGAAAAGAGCGGGAAAATACAGCTCTCTCTCGGCTGGCAAACGTGTGCTGAGCTGTTTTTTTTCGCGGACAAACACCATTTCTCTCACTCTTCGCGCAATTGTGGATATTTGTCGAGAGCTGCGGGAGAGGTAGAAAAAAGCGCCTCAAACACACGCCAAACTATCTGGCGTAATAAAATTGTGCAAATATTGTTCTGGGCGATTGGAAAATAGGCACTCGTGAAGGACACGATCTCGCGTTCTCAACGCTTCAGAACCGCGCGCGCATGTGTGATAAAGTATGGGATTTTTCTTGCAATTCATGACTCGTCCGACAAGTAAATCAATTAATTGAGCCCCATAAGCGCTCGATAGCACCGAAAAATCGTGCGCGCGGCTCCATGAACTCCAGCACGATGCGCGAGACGAAGAAGATATTGAAGTCGCGGATGCCCCAAAAGGGAGATTTCTGTCGTGAGATCACTTCATGTGATACTGTCCGATGGTTGGGTGAAAAAGTGAGCCTGAGAATTGGTATTTTTCAATGCTCACAGAGTCGTGCTTTTTGGAAGCTCCTCCTAGTCGTGGAATCTCGCGGTGCACGATCGATTGGGGCATTCTTTCGAAGGGATTTCAGAGAGTCGAACTGATTTGCTGCTGGCCACAAAACCATCGCGCGGAATCCCGACAATTCCGCCTCAGCTCACGTGCAAATGCCGATGAAATCCACCGAAATATTCCGTTGAGAGGCGGCGGAGAGTGTTTAATAAACAAATTCTTGCACTTTTCTGCTTTATTTACGCGCAAAGAGACGCGAAAACGAGCAAGAGAGCGCCGAAGAAGGTGTACGAGCGTTTACTGCAAATAAAACAATTAACTCGTGTGTGTCGAATGTGTCAAGCGCAATGGAGAAAAGTGATGCAGAGATTTCGCGTAAAAAGATCCCACTCTTTGTGTGTGCTGGAGAGTTATATTTGACGCATATCGCGAGATGCGGAGAAACAGCCAAAAAGACGGCAAGCGCGTTATGGCATCGGGTTTCAAAAATTAATTACATTTTTACGAGTCTCTCATGCTCCAAAGTCCGACTCGAGAGACATGAACCACTCCGGGTGTCGACGGTATAAATTCTTTCTGGAGATTTTGGTGAATTTTTCTCGCCACTGGACCTCAAAGAAGAATGTCTTCTGGCCATAAAAGCTCCCTCAATGCCTCGCAATAAATCTCTCTTGTGGCGATTTGGGTGTTGGAGGAGAGACAGAAAGCTCCACAAAAATCCACTTAAGTCGCCTCTTGATTGTGTTCTATCATAATACAAATGGATTTATCACTGCGGGCGAGTGCAAAAAATCATCACCACCACTTAAAATGTGAGCTCTTTTTATGGTGAATAGCCATTTGCTTCTTATCTCGCGCTCATGCTAAAATCCCACTAAGTGGAAGCGGAAAATATGCTAAAGACACATTTCTAGGGGTGGACAAATCTCTTATCTTGTCGCTTTGGCGTGCATAAATTTTGCATTTGCAAAGCTATGCTGGAGAAGTCAAATTATGAGTTGATAGTGAGTTATTAATATGAAACAGTGTGACTTTTGGCAGATTGTCAACCCCTCAAAATTGTCGTTAGACTTGTAAAACATTCTCTTTAAGATCGCTTTCGAGCCTATTTATGATTGATTTATGCTTCTGTTGTGGATTATCGTACATTTCCATTCCTTCTGCGCCCTGTCGTGGCTGTCGATGGAAAATCCAACAGAATTCCTCTGCACAATTCCGTTGTGGACAATTTTACGTCGTACTTTATGCTATTCAGACTCTTGCTTTAAAGAAACATACTGGATTCTATAGTATCTTCACTCAATTAAGCTGGATAGTAAACGAAAAACACCATGATTAATGTTGTATTGCTTAAAGAAGTCAAAGAATTTGATTAGAATATTCTTCTAAAGGCGTCTTACAGGTAAAAGAATTCTCAGTAAGATTTGAGGTCATAAACCTTTATTATGATCTGACTTGGTAGAGCCAAAAAGACTGTAAACTTTCGATGAGGAAAACACCCGGAAAATCCCATGGAATTCCTCTTTTCTTTATTCAATTGCTGACGCATTCCTGGCTGGGCAGAAGCCACCGTATTTGAGGCATTTGCCGTGTCTGATAAGAGCAAGAAGTTTACAAATAATCACCCTAAAAAAAGTAAACTTAGATAAATGGCAATTCCTTGGACGTGCGTGTGAAAATATGCGTCTTCGTGTCTTCGAAGAATGCTCGAGACTTTCTCTGGCTGTGATATTCCAGAGGGAATTTTATTGCGAGTAGCTCTAACGAGGCAATCACTCAATATGGCCAGATTAAATATTTTATGGGGATCGTCTTCGGCACAATTTATTTATTCTCGTCCATCAAAGTCGAAGATATTGGGGAGCTTTTTCTTTATCGGCACAGCACGAGAGAGTGAGAGAGTCAATGCGCCGCGGAGACACTTTGGGAGATGGCTTTAATGAACTTTATGCTAATTTATATTGTGTGTCTCTTTGTGCTCTATCGCACCTTTTTTTACCTTCTTGTCTGTGGCCAAATGAAGCAATTGAGAGATAGTTGACTTGCTGACAGACGCGATGAGCGAGGAATTCAGTAGGAAAAACATCTCAGCGGGTGCGATCAATGAAAAATCGCCGTTTTCTTCGACTCTAGAAATGCATGGAAATATTCAAATTGACACGCTGAATGTTCCACATTTATCTCGCGAGGAACGCGTCTTTGCGATAAAATTTGTCAACGAGGTCTTCTATATCACTTATCTGCTGTGGCATTTTTCACTGAGGCATTCCATCCTCAGCTGGAGGTGGAAAAATCTGGTGAATTATGGTTGGTGGGAATTTTTGTGAAAAGCCCCGCGTGCCGAAGATTCTGTACGTCCGAAGGTGAGCAACTCATCTGAAGTGTTTGAGGTGCTTTGCAGTCTCTGTTTGTGCCATTTTCGCGAGCTGTGCCTTTCATTAGAATACCTGCTTTTCATGATTCATTTCATGGAATTTAATAGTCAGTAATTACTGCATATGTTTATAGACAATTGCGACAGTCAAGACGCAAACAGTGACACGTTGCCAACCAACTGAGATCACAACTTTGAGCTTTACCGATCGTGTAGCAAGTTAATCAAGCACCGTGATGCAATTAATTCATAAGGTTCAAATTAACATTTTTCCTTCAATTCAACACTATCGAGAAAATCCACTTTTTTCCATTGCTATGCAATTTTATCGCATGAACTCATTGTGAAACGCACGTCTGGATCGTCCTAAATTCTCTCTCAATTGCCTTCTAACTTATTGGCATTCCTTCCCGGATTAATCAATCTCTGTGTTCCACCCAAATATGTGCGCACGAGCGTTAGAAAATGCCTTCAAGACAAACAATTGCTGGCCATTTTCAGCGGACAACCTTGAAGAGATTAGAGCTTTCGCCTGGCAAAGCTAAAGTTCAGATTTGGAATTGTTATTTCTCCACTGACGCCAGGTTATTTTTCATCGCCACTCGCTTGAGTTCAGTGATCTTGATCTCTGATGGGAACCTTATGTCCATTCCATAAGGAATTTCACCAAAAAGTTCGACGCAGAAAATTCCCTCGCACTCTTTCCCATCGAATTGTGCGCCTAAACGCCTGTGAAAGCCGATCAATAGCGCTCATAAAGTCATAACTTTTGAGAGACAGTGCGAGTCAAAAGTTGCGAGCTTTTATGACTCTTTGGGTTCTTGGCTGCGCCATAGTGTTTTCCAATGATCCCATTTTCATATGATTTAGAATGGCAATAGAGTAAATATACAATAAAAGACTCACACTGTATATATTGTTGGGCATAGAAAAAAGAGCACAATAATCACGTTGTTTGCTCAAGAGATTAGCGGGCGAGAATCAAAAAGGCCATCAAATGCTTTTGCTCTCTTTTTTTTTGCCTCTTCGTGTATTTTTTTTCGACACTGTGCGACTGTGGAGGATCTTTGTAAGAAAAATAAACCACGCAGAGATGCTCGTGTGCGTGCTGTACAAGAAGATGTGTTGACGAGCAAAAGAAACGGCCGGAGAAAAAGACTGGGCGATGGAAAGTAAAGCAGAAACCGTTCATTTAAAACATGGTGGTTTTGACTCTCTTTGGCCATCCAACACCTTCACTCGATCGGCCAAGAGAGGCTGGAGGATTGTGGAAAAAAGACACTGTTGGCGGCACTCGAGAGAGATTCTCTCTGGCAGTTGCACGCGCACGACAATATGCGAAGAACAAGGAAAATTATGTTCTGATTCTTGCCACGATCTGGCCATCTCGCTTCAGCCTCTCAGCTCTCGCCAGACGAGATTGCTCAGGAAGCGCTCGCGACTATTGCAATCGAGAGGGAATGGAGAAGTGAATTCTAGCTGAAGCTCTAATCAAAGCTCTCTTGATCCCTTGATGAATTGGCCCTCAATTTGACTAAGTTTTCTGAACATCATTCCACTAATTACACCCTCTTTTCTCAACCTATTTTGTGTTGTGCATGAAATAATTCATCCACTGCCAAATTCTGCTATTGAAACACAATTTTGCGACCCTCCAAAGGGTCCAAGAATGGCCAAAAGACTGCCTTTGCTGATGACAATAACCTGGCGGAGAATCCCAGCAAGGTGAGCTGACGCAGCTCACTCGGTTCTTTTCCTCCGCAATCGCCACAAGAGATCTCTCGATGGCGAAGCAAAAGAGGCCCAAGAGACCAACACAGCGACTCTCTGAGGTGCTCTCGAGTCTCTCCTTCGCACTCAGGCCCACTCGAGGCAGTTGCGAGTGAGATGAAGAGATGGTAAAATCTCAGGTGCGAACAAATCTACCTGGGCAAACTGGTTGGAGCGATCGTGCACACAAAAACACGACTCAAAGTCGCTTTTTTTCGCCTCGCGCCATCGTTTCACCACTCGAGAGACTTCAGTTGGTGTTGAGCGTTCTACCAAAGCGACCATGCTCGATCACTCCCTCGCGATCGGTCACAACTCTGTCTGTGTTTCCGCGTGAAAAAGGGCTTTTCCACCCTCACGAGCACGCAAGGGGGAGAGTGGCGCCAAAGTGCGCAGGAGTGCGATTTATCCTTGTTGTCTCTGCCAGTCAAATAGCCGCGAGGATCGCGCACAATTGTGGTGGTGTTGGCTGTACAAGACATTCTTCGAGGCAACTTTCTATTCCAGTTGTGACTGTCACAAAAATCTTTATTGCACAAAATCTGAGCGTGGAGAGAAAAGGCGCGCAACTGCTGAATAAATCACATCGCGAATGATCGCTCAGATGGTTCTCAGTGCTGCCATTTGTGCCTCGACGCATGTGAAAATAATAAACAAATGACATAATCAATTGGCGGGATTCTCGAGACGCGGGCGCGCTTTAAAGTGAGAACGTGGAATTTATGGGAATTGCTTGTGAGCGTTGCTGGGGCGCAATAGATGCACGAGAGTTTCGGAATCTCGAGTGGCAACAAGTGGTGTTGACCCTAAAATCCCACCAGGATTACGGGATAAGTGAGCGGTGTGTGTGCGTATGATGGGATAATGACATCATGAGAGGATACCTGATTGTGGGGCTCCTGGTGCTTCATCTCTCAGCGTGCCTGGGCGTGCTGGAGCGCCCCCAGAAACCCGAGGGCGGGAAGCGCTCGGACAGGATACGGAAGCAGCACCAGCAGCAGATCACGGCGGATTTGGCGCCAAAAGTGCAACAGGATGACAAACAGCCATCGGAGTTTGTCAAGGGCAAAAGTAAGATCACGCAATGCAAATTACCGCCAGCAATTTCGCCCATCCGTTTCACTTTTGTGCGCACAGTTTAACCCATCAGTCACGGAGTGTATTCTTGGGAATCTCCCAGAAATCTTAGCCAGCAGAGAGAAGACTTTGAAATATTGTGATGGGAATTGTGGCGCCGAATGGAATAATAGCGGACTTTCATGATTGAGTTGTGGAGAGACTTTGAAAAATTGTAACGTTAGGATCGCATTGAACATCGAAATTGCGCAAAAGCTAGAGTTAATCTTTTGATAAGTTTCCACGCTCACCGCAAGATATTTACACAGATTATGTATTTGCATTAACATTGAAATTGGATGGGCAAACACAGGAACGGAGAGCAGGATACGAGATATCTGCGAGTTTATGCTCAATCGGATTGCTTCATAAGACACGTTGTGTCAATACGCCTGGGATCGCCTCTCGATCGAGGAGTCTTCGAAATCTTATCAGGGTGCATGTGTTTGCCGTGCGACTTACAACTCAATTCGTGACATAAATTCCGTGACGTTTACCAAGTGTGACAATTTTTTCTCCAACTCGCACACCGACTCGGAAAATGTTGATAACGAATTTACACAATTGTCGTGTTTGTTTTTCCAATCGAATTTAATTTCTGTACAACATTCTTATCTGGCCGTGTGTGTTGCGTTTACTTCTCTCAGCGTCTCAAGTTGTGTGTCGCATTTTTTTCTAACCCATACAGAGTCACACAAGAGCCTAGAGTGGTCCGTGTTGTTTGCTTCTTTCGGCCTGCATGCGCGTCTCTCCATTTGGCCGCGCGCGCAACAAACAGAACCATAAACTCCATAAAACCCCGCAGTTGAGGAGAGCTGAGAGAAAAATGAACCTCTTATCTTGGCGGGTAAATGTTATTCTCGAGAGTACAATTAAACAAATACACCGCGTCTCTCGAGTCCAGCCAGCATTTTGCAAGAGCCACGACAATTGCCAGAGCAGAATTGAATGCAATTACTCTTGAGGTAGAAAATGCTGTGCGAAGTGCATTCTGCTGTTTGGCCAAAGGAATGCCCAAAGAGCGGACTTCCGTGTAGAAATTGCACGGAATAATTCCTTTTTTGAGTGGTTTTGGGTTTGAAAGTTGTTCTTGAGACATTTACGGTAAGAGGAAAAGAGTGATTGTCTTTGCAGACATTATTGGCAGTTTTTAGAAGCTTCCTGTCGCCCTTAATCAATGAAATTCCCATCAATGCCCAATTTGAAAGGAACCTTTCAAATCGTCATGTCTGCAATGTGTAATTGAGACGTGAGAGATGGGCAATTTCGGAAGCTGTTCTGGTTTCTGGGAACGTCTTGAATTCTTACTTGGTGAGAAAACATTCTATACAATTTATTTCCGATGAAAATTCATCTGTCAGCGAACAGCCCGGCTCTCCCCTATGCAGCCTTTTTCTTTTCCATCACGCGTGTTGGAGAGAAGATGCAAAGAACTTGAAAGTGCATCGCGCGAGTCTTCATTGTGTTTGAAAATCACGAATTGCAGCATTTCTCTGGTGAATTGCTGGCAAAACACTCCTCGAGAGTTTGCCAAAGTGGTTCTGCAACACAAGACATTGCTCTTTCTCTCACTCCGAGCAGAATCTCTGTTGTACACCGCGAGAGTTGTGTTTTTGTTGTTCCTCTCCGCCAGCATCGCACAAGACACCGAGGAGAGAGAGATACTTAGAGAAATTACTTTTAATATTATATATTATCCACCGTGAACCGGTTCTGGCTGTAGTAATACCCTCTCTCTCTCTGCTTCTCGGGATGGTGGATCGCGCAGGGGGCAGAAATGCGGTGCGCGATGGGTTCGCCCTCGAGGAGGGAAGCAATTTCGGGCGGCTTTTTCGAGAGCCCTTCGCCCAATGTCTCACCCTCGATCCCACACGGGATCGCAACCCCATCATTAGAGGAGTTGGCGGACAGAATCCCTCTCGGGCCTTTGCTGAGCGTGAGTCAGGCCGTCCACGCCCATGCTTTTGCCATTTCTCAGCATCTTGTGGCACACATAATCGCGGGTATTCATCTCTCTCTCCGGCTTCTTGGCAATAAAAGAATATCGAAGGGGCTTTAATGCACGTCTATGGGATTTAACTTGAGGCACTTTGCATTCTGGCTTTAACAATTGAACGCGATCGGCGCGCTGCTTCTCAGAACTCGCAATTTGCCAAAGCCGCGCCATTATTGTTTCAAGTAAATCGCCTGAAAATTCTCCACGGCGCGCATTTTCTTGACCATCTCGTGACTTTGCCATTGGAAAATTGAGGAGGTGCTGCGCAGCGAAATCGATTATAGTATATATGTTTAATGGATGGCGTTGAAGTGTGGTTGATGAACTTGATCTTCGCCTGACCGTTATGTTTTGAATTTGACAGTAAATTTTCCTGTCATGCTGTCGTCTGTGGAGTGTCAATATATCGATGATATGTAATGCGAGACATCACCGAAACAAGGGGAAAGAGTGACATGGATAGTGTTTCACAGCCAAAATATCGCGAGAGAAATCTCTTTTCGCAAGTCCATAAAAGTACAGCTAATAAGTGTTAATTAATTGCAAATAATCTCACATAAATTCTTGTATTAAATGGTCTGCTGATTGTATCAAGAGTCTCCGAATTTATATCCGAGGCTGTCAGATTTGTGAAGACGCGGAGAAACCCGTGAGCGAGGGAATTTTGAAAAACATCAAATTTAATTATATCGGATAAAATATTAACAAAAGGTGATTTTGCGTGAAGTTTTGTGTGAGTCCTCGAGAGGTATTCGTGGAACGTCGAATAAATAATTTCTGAGAATGTGGCCCAGAGCTGAGGAAGCGTGACGAGAGGGAGAATACAGCTCAGCAGGGTGTTTTTGTACAGAATAGAGGCAATCTCTCTCTCGGCAGATGAGATAGTGAGGCGATGGATGGGCGCAACAATAGGACGATTAGGGAGATTCACCTGAAATTATGCTCGCGAGACAGGGGAAAAATCACCGCACTGTGAAAGGTTAATTAATTGAGACATTTTGGACGGGTTCGTGTCTTAGCGCGGCGTTCAAGTCTTTCGTTGTGCGGCCGCAATTCAAGTGAAGATAAATCCTGTGCGGCTGTGTTTCTGCAATATTTGCACACTTTAACGACTAATTAGATTTCCTTGAGGCTCCCAATCGAACGTCTCGATGATATTCACGATTTTTACGGAGGTGTGAATTTTATTAACACACACGCTTCTCTTGCGCATTAACATCTTCCAACCTTTTTGGGCAAATCACTCTCCAACCACGAGTGTGTCTCTAATGAAATGTTTTCTCGCCACGGCGCAGCCAAAAAAACACAGTCGAGAGGAGATTTTTTGAGAAATAAAAAAGTATAGAGATAGAAACGAAAGAAGCTACACAAAAGCACATTAATTTGTTGTTTCTTGCGCGCAGACTCATCTTCACGACGAGGTCTCTGTTTCTTAGCATGGCCGCGTGTGTGGGTCGCTTCTTCACATACAGTGTTGTGTGAATTTCGTGGAAATTTCATTAGCTGAACTCTCTTCCAAGCTCTATGCCTTATCAAATAATTGTGTCACGATTTCACAAGCTTTCTGGCCTATCATCGCGCGTCTAAAAGCTTCCTACTCGCGTTGGCGCTTAATCAGCACATAAATTACATATTGGATGAGTGGTGCTTGCATGTAAATCAAACAGCATGTTGAGCATCTTCGAATTTGTATCATATTTCGAAATGAATTCGTGTGATGTTTATCTGGTTCGGGCTCTTTTTTTGGGAAGGTCTGGGCCTCCGTTTTGTATGCGATGGGAAGATTTTTTCCCCCAAAATCTCTTACCTGACGATCATCGTTCTACCTGAGCGATCTCTCGGCTCTATCGCTATTTGTTATCTCGTGCTTTTGGGTGCTGCCTGGCGTGGCATTGTTATGACGAGGGTGACTTTATGACAGATTGTCTGAGAGGAGAGCTGGAAGAGAGCGTCCAACATTTGATTTCCAATGACGTGGAATGAGGCTTTTTTCCCCCTTCTTCTATGCCTCTACTTTTCACGGCATGACCAATGGAATAATTGGGATTTTTTCAGACTCTCTGTGTGTTTGACTTTTCAACCTGAGTTTTGCGTTCTTGCAAAAATGCCAGGCGAGAGACAGAGCGTATTTAAAGATCACCTGAAGATTTACAATGCCCCTTTTTGGATGGGCGAAAAACCGCGAAAATAGCATTTCAAGGTGCAATAAATTGGCATACGGACAAAAGGTATCATATTTGGATAAAATCGTCCGCAACAATGAAGGTGAATAGAGCGCGAGACCACGCACAAGACGTCCATCAACAATAAAAAGTCAAACAATGGATTTTTATCGATAACAATAAAAGTTAACAACTTCGATTGGTGCGGTCGCTCATGGGGGAGTTTAATGGCAACTTGTGGAATATGCGCCCGCGAGACCACAGAAATGGACTCAACTGAGAGTAATTGAAAAAAAGTGGAGAAAAAAGGGATTAAGTCAGTTCAGACACCCCATGAAAAATTGACGGACAGCATCGACATGGAATTGATGTCTCAAGGCTTTAAGCACTCTTTTTTTCCGGTAAATATCATGTCTGTTTGATTAGCACAAATACGACACGAGTTTCTAATTTTCGAGTCCCGCGGAGAAAAATCTCCGCGTCACATGAAAGAATGCAGTGCGATCGTCAATGTTTGCATCTCACAGGCAAATCACGCAGTTGAGGAATTTTCGTCATGGGGCAAAACTTCATCGACATTTCAATGGGCTTGAGGAGATTATTTGAAGACACGGGCCTCGCGAGATCTCTGATCGAGCGCGTCTCTCCGAACAAAATGTCTCTTGGTGAGGAAGATTAGGAACCGGTTTAAGTCGCACATTCTCCATCGATCTTCCGCTTTTGTCCGTTTGGAATCTGCGCGGTATTTGTGTTGGAGAGAACATAGAGTGCCACATGATGAAGCATATAAATTTACA